TTACCGTTAATCCGTTCTGGTGTGGAGGACAGGGAGGCAGCTATTGCTTGGAGGGAGAGTCCCCCTCCCTACGACTACGTGTCAGGGACAGAAAATGGCTGCGGACCACGTGTCAGAGGTGGAAAAATGGCCACGGACCACATGTCAGGGGTGGAAAAATGGCCACGGACCACGTGTCAGGGGCGGAAAAATGGCCACGGACCGCGTGTCCGGGGCGGAAACATGGCCACGGACCACGTGTCAAGGGTGTAAAAATGGCTGCGGACCACGTGTCGGGGCGGAAAATGGCCGCGGACCCTGTGTCAGGGGCGGAAAAATGGCCACGGACCGCGTGTCCGGGGCGGAAACATGGCCACGGACCACGTGTCAAGGGTGTAAAAATGGCTGCGGACCACGTGTCGGGGCGGAAAATGGCCGCGGACCCTGTGTCAGGGGCGGAAAAATGGCCACGGACCGCGTGTCCGGGGCGGAAACATGGCCACGGACCACGTGTCAAGGGTGTAAAAATGGCTGCGGACCACGTGTCGGGGCGGAAAATGGCCGCGGACCATGTGTCAGGGGCGGAAAAATGGCCGCGGACTGTGTCACGGGAGGGACAATGGCCACGTATCCTGCTCGTACCCCGAGGTGGAGTTCGCAAATCGAGGTAAATTTTTGCGGCTGGAGCAGGTCGTAACCTGAAAAGTTCGTTAACAGAGGCGTTCGTAACCCGAGGTACCACTGTAAATAAATAATGAAATGGTTAGTCAAATTCATAAAGAAAAAGCCTGCCAACTAATAAAGAGAGTAGCTATATTCTGGGGTAGTCAAACTCTATGAGTTATAAGTTGCTTTTACTCTGCTAGAATGCGAGTGGGCTTCTCAGAACTACATTTGTTCTTGGCCAAAAGGCTAAGTAATGGCTTCTCTGAATCTATAACTGATCATTACTAGAAGCTAAAAAGACTCCATCTGATCCAGCAAAGATCTTTATGTTCTTCTTCTCATACCTTTCTATTACATTTTTGACACTATATATTAAGACAGACCCAAAAGAAAGCGATTGCTATTGGCATTCCACACGTATCTTTTAAGATTCTTTAAACCTTTTTCTTAATCATCAAAATATTACCTTGAATTCAACTTTATTGTTTCTCCAAGACACACATCCTGTTACGTAATTTTTCCTATCAAATTCCATTACATTTGCAGATTTAGTCAACTTGCGCTACAGACGCTTGGGAAGAGTCATTTTGGGCAATTACACACAGACATTACACACCTGTACTTTCTACATTTACTGAACTGGGAGGGAGACAAACACTCCCTCCACTATCCAGTCTTTCATAAACCAGAAAAGCATTCCAATTCTCAGTTTTAGGCAAACTGGTCAACTCAGTTATGCAATCCTCCCCAGAGCCTAATACATGTTACACCACCTGACTTCATCTATTGCGTAACCTCAGTCATCAGAGAAAATCGTTCCTCCAACCTGTTACATTACAAATGCCACAGTTCATAGTCCATGTGACAGCAAGATCTCAGTAATGATTCAATTCCTATCACATGGGCATGCACACATTAGACAAACTACAAATAACCAGAAGTGCTTTCTGTCCTGGAAGGAGACACAAACAGCACAGTGAGATACTGTACTCCAAACGTACTGAGAATGCTTTCAAGTATACCTAACTCTAGATTGGACCAAGCTATAAATATACAAAATGTTGAACACATTTACATGAGAGTAGAAACCATGAACTACAGTAGGAGTAGGTTACAAGACAGTATATTTAGCATCAGGCTAACTTAAATAAAAATTAATTGTACCCTTGTCCGCTCAGAACGACCTACAGTACAAGTAAATTCATTATGACTTATTCCAAGGCATTTCTTCTTTTTAGCCTTCTGGAGGGCTGTGCAGACCTGGCTCTTACCCCAAACACTGGGTTAGGATGGGGGTTGAGCTGGAAGGATGCTTGGTCTGGCACCTGGGGGGAAGGGTACTTTTGTTTTTAACCATGATTTTATGGATTGTTGTGAGCTGCCTAGAATGAGATAGACAGCTATATATGTCCATTAAGTAACTAAGTAAATAAATGAAGTTAGTTGGGAAATAACTGCATTAAGTTATTCAGAAAAATACAGTCACATCATTTAGTTAGTGACAATATCACCAAGCTTCCCATATATTTTTTCTCCTTTAAATTTCCTGATAACTCTCCTTGTTTCTCAAAGAAAAACCAGTCCCCTCACCTCTGAGCCTCCACCTTTTCTTCCAGACCCAGCACATATTCAACTGTTCTATCCTATCTGTACTTGTTTTCTCCGAAAACAGACCACTGAATTCAATTTCTTGATTGTGCATAGAACTACTACAACTTCATGCACCGTATTTCCTAATTAGGCACCTTTTAGATCTTTTGGGCTAAAATTCCTTTGTTGTTACAGGACAAATTACAGGAGTTGTAGTCCAGTACAGCCTATGCACCCTATCTACTTCATGTCGTCAAATTCAACATATAAACGTGTATATGGGATAACACAGGCTCATAAAATGTAACCGCGATGTGGCTCAATGACAGAAAACAGAAAAGAAAGCCAAAATGCACAGCTGAGCAGCATCTTTATTTCCTCCTATCCTATCCCTGCCTATGGTTTTCTAAATTCAACAAGTCACGCTCCCGGTGAAACCTACGTAGGGAATGCGCGGTTAACCAAGTTAAAGCTACGCAGCCTTCCATCACTTCGAGACCAAAAAGCGATAGAATTCCGCGCAGCAATTGGGGACGTCCGGCCAAGCATTCCGCGGTTCCGGGCTCGCTCGCTCGCTCCCTTTCCCACGCGGAAGCGGCCGCCCTCGGACGCTTTCAGTTGGCAGAGCAACTCCTATTCACCCAGCACAAATCAGCACTTTGCGGCGGAGTGGGAAGAGACGACGGGCGTGTCTGCATGAGTCGTCTCCGTTGCCTCCGCCCCCACGTGTCCCTTGCCCGCCGCGCCTGGATATAGGTCACCAAAACAACGGCCTCCAGCAGGCTACACGTGTCAGTCCACACGGTCTCCCAGCAAGACCGCCCCGGCGCAATTATGCAATCTGGGCATCTCAGCAAGGCAGAGCCAATGAGGACGCGCCTGGCACCGAACGTAAACAAAGGACGCACATGGCTCAGCCGGTCAGTCCATGTGAGGCGGCGGAAAGGAAACGGGCAGCGACTATGGGGGAAAAGGGGCGGCGGCGAGCCCAAACCTGCCCGCCAAAACCGAATGCCCCGGTTGACCCCCCCCCCCCTTCCTTCCCCCTCCTCCCCCCTCTCTCCCCCCACCCCATCCCACGGCCCTCCCTCTCCCCCTCACCCCACCCCC